CAGCACAGAACCCTGAGGCACACCGCTCATTACACTAGCCCAGTCTGAAAAGGTGCCATTTACAGATACCCTCTGGACCCGTTCCCGTAGCCAGTTCTCTATCCACGTACACACCACCTCATCTATGCCCATAGCTCTCAGCTTGTGTAGCAAGCGTTTGTGTGGTACTGTATCAAAAGCCTTTGAGAAATCCAGATATACCACATCTACCGGCTTACCTCCATCCAGTAAGCTTGTGTATAGTAGAAGACTGGCCATTTGGAACACATGTACTGTCAGGATTGGCAATTTCTGCCCACAAATTGTCAAGTCACTGCTATTTAGAGGAGCATATTACTATAATTTAGTCCCCAGCAGGCCTGCCACTATCAAAGCATGCTACTATTTTCCCTAACTTTTATTGTTTAAACCCTTAACATCTAAGGCCCCATTCACACCTGTAAATAACAAATTACTCCATGAAACTCAGCTCTAAAGGGGAGGCACAGTAAAATACAATGATTCCCATCAGGGGCTGACTGGCAACTTTTAGCCCAGGGGGCAAGTACATCCCAGAGGCCCATGGTGCAGCAACTTGGCCCCTCTCCCACTCTGCTTCTTCCCTGCATTCTCCCCGCCCGTCTGCCACTTTTGCCATCCATGTAACGGTAGTGTGAATGGTCGGGTGATGTGAGGACTCCTAGGAAGTCCATGAAAGGGGTGACTGGCTAGGTGATGGTGCTCTCCTCCCACTGGGCTCCCTACATGGTTCTGGCCTTACTCCTCTCCATGTCCACTACTTAGGCACTCTCACCCACTGTAGGCTGCCGCTGGCTGTCCATGCTTCTGGGCTGTGAGCTGTGAGAGGGAAGTGGGAGGGGCCGGACAATGTCAAAGTCAGTGTTCTATAATTTTTCTCAATCCTATACATTTTCTCGACTGTGTCACTTCCAATGGGGCCGAGTCATCCGAATCAGCTGTTTTCATGACCCCCCTTTCTTTATGACATGCACACCTGGAAGAGACCTGGTAGAGAAATTTATCGGTTGAGGAAAATTATAGAACACTGGTAGTGGAGGGATGCCTTGTCAGTGCTGTGCGCGTATACGACTGCTGGCTGATTAGATCCAGTCAGCCCGGATCGCATCGGTATGCGATCCGGGTTGGCTGGATCAGGCACTGTAGAGGGCCGCCCACTGGGGCCTTCAGAGGTCAGCCTTGAGGAGCGAGCGGCCACCGAGTACAGAGCCGCATCTGTAGCGGCTCTGTACTTTGTAAGTGGCGGCGGAGGGAGCAACTGCACCGGCGGCCGGAGGATTCTTTTAGCGGGGGCCAGTGACAGGCCCCCTGACGGCCGCGGGCAGGGGCCATTTTTAAAGGCAGCAGAGAGGCAGCCCAGTCCGCCCAGTCCGCCCCTGATTCCCATAGCTGTTAGCAGGCAGTTTGCATGTAATCACACACGCTGTGATTAATTGTGGTCAATTTCTCCTGGACACAAACAGTCTGCATCCAGATGCAGTCTTCTGTAGGTAATCGCAGCATACTGTATATATGCTATCCAGCACTTCTGGGTGTGTTGGATAGTGTTTGGGTTTTCCAACCAACAGCTACATTGCTACTGTGTTTAGTATTGATGTGGCTGACGGCAGGAGAAACTGTGGTGCTTAGTTGTAGGGCCAGGCATCCAAAATACCTGGGAGCATCATGCCACTTCCACTTGAGCTACACTTGCAGCATATGCCTATCCTAACACAGAAAACCACCAATTTTCCAGTCTATACGTTCATAACCTATTACCTTGATTATTGCAACAACCACATAGTCTATGACTAGCTAGAATTTTCACCTTCACAGCCCATGATGAATATTGCAGAAAGACTATATATGTTTTTACACATATTTATGTTTTCTCACATGACAATTTTATTCCTATCTAAAGTGAAAAAATAATTATTTTATGTGGTCATTTTGATATACACCCTGTCTTCTTTTCAGCTGTACAGAGAACAATCATGGCATGCTCCATTCCAGGCCATAATGTCACACAATTTTTTTTACTAGTTACTATTCAGTTCTGCTGTTTGAGTCTGCTTAGACTAGCTGAACAACAATTATGTTGCAGACTACAGATAAGTTTTACACCTTAAATGTGCCCAGGCTATTGGCAATAACGCATTTACATATTCTTAACAAGCAACAAAAGATCTTTACATAAACCAACCCTGACCTCTAAAGCTGCATGTACTGTGATGTATTTAATTCTGAAAGAACACAACAAATACACTAAAGTCAGGTTTCAGTCAGTTTCTAACACCTGAGAAAAATGTTGCTGTTTGCTTACATCAGAAGTTTGACATGATGCCAATATCTGCTTTCTATTGAAATCAGTTGATATTTCAGTGCTCCTCTTTTTGAATATGACTTTCTCCACAATTCCTATAGCTACAGAGAGGATAACCATAAACATGAGACGCTGGTAAAAGATCTGAACATGAAAAAACTGTGTTTGCCTTAACAGGTAAGTAAACTCTTTTATATATTTTAAGCATTCACGTTTAGCAAACTGCAGACATTCCAGTGTCACATCAGCAATATACAACCTAGGGTAATAGCACCCTAAAACAGTCCTCCAAAGTCATATGTTACACTTAGAGATACCTAATAGACTATTCAGATATTCCTCAGTCTTAATGAAATCAGACAATTGTCATCTATGGTGACCTTTTACAACTACACATTTGTGTGCACATTTTGCTGCTAGTCAGACACTGTTTTAAACTACACATCTTGAAGTAGGCAGGTATTGTTATTGCTGATATATTAGTAGATAGTCATTTGGTTATGCATTAGTAAATACAGATGCTAGTAGATTCACTTTTTAGCATTTTGTCATTTATAGCTGAATTTATGAAACAAACTCACATCTTACAGAGTTATGGTATTTACAACTTTTGCATCTCTGGCAGAATCATATAAATAATATATGTGTTTGCAAATCATCACATAGTTAATTAATAATGCACATTCAAATACGTTACCAATCATAAACCAAAATAAAATTGTAGAGCATTCTAATTCTAATAAAGCTTTCTCACTTACCCACACACTCATGTGCATTGCTTGGTGTTGCCCTTTGCCAGGGCCTGTCATAATAAAATGGCTTGCAAGCATCACATTCTGGACCAATAGTGTTATGTTGACAGTCGCACATAAGTCCCTCCTTTGTAGCAGTACAACGGGAAGCATGACCATTGCATTTACACCTTCCTCCAACCTGAAGTTCAGAAACTCCATAAAAAGCAGTCTTCCTGCGGATACCCAACTTCTTACCATGGTGTAGACGGTTAAAGACTATGCGGATATCTGTAGCAGTTACCCAATCTTGTAGAACTGGGCTGTATTCAAACCTACGGGCAGACGGGCGGCCAGCTAATGGCATGAAAGCCACAAGTCCTTTAGTGAGAGGTTTAAATCCTGTTTGGAAATCTGTACAAGTGGCTTCATGCTGCATGGGCTTTGTAATGGCACTAGTAGTAGCTTGGTCATAAACACGACGACAATGAGTAGAGTAAAATTGGAAAGGGATCCAAGTCTTTCCATGGTCCATAGATTTATAGATTGCCATAGAGTCTGGACGGGGAGAACAGAAACGTAAGCTGACATAAACAAGCTCAAATCTACGTCCCAGCGGTAGAGTTAATGTCACATTTTGTGGAAATGTTATACCACTTTCTGACCTCCAGCATGTATGAGCATCTGTGTCAGTCATATATGAAGGTGGGTAAGAAGTGTCAGGTTTTTTCTGGTCACAAAGCTGACATCGGCATGATGTCACATTTGTAGAGTCTAGAAAATAACACAGTTTTTGTGGTGATCGTCCACAAGTACTAGAGGTGATTACCTCTTGTCCAAGAGCCACATTGATAAAATCAGGGATGCAGTATTTTGGCCTTTGTTTGGCATCATAGCAAGGTCCATCTGGAGATACACGGTGAGTTGAAGCTTTGTTGGAATTACTCTCCTGTCCCTTGGGCACTGGGCACAGCAAGGAGATGATATAAAAAGGAAGAAAACCCCACAAAATTCGAGGCATGACAGAACAATCAGGATGTTGGAAACATTACCTAAAAAAAAGAATACAATATTAATTATATAATAACAACTAAGGTAAAATTTACACATTTATCATATATTCTTCACAAATAACAAAGCTATACTCTACATATACTCTACATATAGTGCTGAGTATGTCTAGAAACAGGTAGAAAAAAACTTCACATTTTATGCAGAGTTTCTTAGAATTTCTAAAAACAAATTTTAGATATATAAACGGGGAAGGGAGGTTAACAAAGTAAATAGTTTGTAACAATACTAAGTATATAAATTTATGGTAGGTCCCCTGTTAAAACCAAATTTTAGCAAAGTGTAGGAAATGAAAAAAGTGTAGCTATTGCTCATAAAACCAAGTTGAGTTTTTTTTTAAAGAGTAAACTCAAATTTCATAATGTAATCTAATGCATTGAAATAATTTTTGTTACCAACTTACACTACCTTTAATGTTTAACATTTTCTTCCATGTGCACTCTTGTTGTGACTGTGGTGGGTTTTCCCACCATCTATTGCATCCCTGCTTAATAATGAAACAGCTTTCTCACCGACTGTAGTAGCCAACAGGGATGTAGTGGTTGCTGTAAGGTTAATACTTCCAGCATCAGTAACAGTAGAGATATTGCTATCTTATTGCTCTCTGTTACCAGTCTTAGATATGCATTTCAGCATTAGTTCCAGTGAAGGAACATGGATGCTCCTGTACTGCTCGTAGGGCCATTTATTTCTTAAAGGATTCCCTAAAGTGGACC